TTTTTTTTTTTTTTTTTTTTAGCTAACTCTATTGTGCGAAAGTGAGTACCACTTCTTCTTCGTGAAACGTTTCTCTACATTTCTGGATCAAACGTTGCGAACAAATGTCGTGAAAAATATATTAAGAGTGGGAAGACAATGGAGAGTGATGCGTTTGACGCTTCCACTCGAGTGGAAAATTGATTTAGCGATAAATAGGATGTTTTATTCTCCGCGTAATTATATTTATAAGGGGGGATATTTATGAGAGAGAGAAAAAAAGAAAGGAATGAATTAATTTTATTCGTTTTTCAGATGTATAAATTAAAAGCTCATTATTTTTTTTCTCATACTTTACAAAATTGCAGCAAGAATTAATTAAAACGATAAAAATACGAATCGAATATATCATTTCTTAAATATCGAGGACCATAAGTAAAAGATGATCTACAAAATGAAAACTACAAAATAATTCTTCGCAAAATGAAAAACAAAAAAAATCAAAAGTGGATGGCGCAAATTTAACGATGAATTTAAACGATCGTATGCTTATCATTCGGCTTTTATTTTCTTGCATGATCATCGAGGAGAAAAGAAGGAGAAAAAAGCTCATTTACCTTGCGGATTCGAGGTGATTGATCGCGTTCTGTCGCGAATCCGCCGGTCAGCTTACTCTGATCGATTTCCGAGAGGATCCGCGGTAATTTTTCTTGCGGTACATTCGGACGTGAAAAATTATCCCGTACTCGTTACGAAGCACGATCACTCATGATCGAGAATCCATACTATCCGGATGGATAAAATTAGATTTCGTTTGGTTACTGAGAAATGTATTATTTGATTCTTCAAGTTTCGTTGCTGTATAATATTATACATTCGTTCGTTACCAAGCATCCCATTTCTCGATTTTCCGCTGCTGTAATATTACCCACCACTGATACAACTCTCTTCAACTTAGTTTACTCGCGCTAACTATTTCCATCGCTCAGCGATCCTAATTACTTAACGCTTTCAACACTCGAACGTTTCTTAATCAATACACCAACAATCAACCGTCCAACCCCCGAAAATCAACAAAGAGAAACGACTTAAAAGCTTATCAAACACTCGTTATATTCGATCGACGAGTATGCACGAGGGATTACGCGCGAATTAAAACGAGCGGCCGGTGACGATGCTCAAAGAAGGTAATCCATGAATCACAGGTTGGAGCCGATAATGCAAACTTAATGAAACACCCCCTACGCTGTTCCTACGCTGGATATATTCTAATGGGTGGCAACCCTATGGCCGCGTTTAGCCGAATGGGTTAAAACTGCGGTTGTTTGCGGTGCACTTCAATCGAATTGGCTGCCGTTTGCATAATCTCCAGGCTTACTTTACGTGTGCACAACCGCCCATTCGTCCTTATTCGGCGCACCTTCTTTCACGTTTCTCACCGTCGCCTTTCCCTCCCTCCACCCATCGACTCCCTTTTCCGCCGTGCACACAACCTCCCTCTAGCAACCTCCTCGGTGAAAACGTTTCGCGGTTCCCCCCTTCCACGAGAAATGTTTACGAGCAAATGCCTCTCCCTGATTTATTCCAACCGGCTCTCGACTTATCTACTAAGGAGGCATCGATTCCCTCTTGCCGTGGCAAGATCGTTTCCTTGCCGATCGTTCGCGCGTTACCCGCCATTTGTGCGGATACGGTAATTACGGAAGAGGTGGGGTTGTTTTTCCTGTTTTTCCTCTCAGAGAGAGTTGGAATATTTCGAAATTTCGGATTTCTTCGCTCGAAGATGAAATTGGAAGATTAATTGAATTAATTGAATTCGAAAAAGTTTAGATTTTTAATTTCAGGTAGATAATAAGGGTTTTGGATAAATTGAATTTCTTTTTGGAATCTCGAATCTTTTCGAGCGACTTTTCGAAATTTTGAAATTTTTAAGATTCCACGAGGCAAAAATCGTTAAATTTGACGATATAGCCAAATTTGTATGTCGAAGGAAGCGTGTAAGAGAAATTGCGATGTCTTGTCTAAGAAGACGTCATTACTTCCTCTCCTTAGGGAGCTCAATAACAGTAGACCGATAAATCAATCTGGTCACCTATCTACTTGATATATTGCCTGATTTACATTCACCAGATTTGCATTGAAGGTGACTAACGACGAGTACCTCAAACGTTTGCGGGGCAAAACTAACCGTGATTCGTCTCAGAAACTTTAAAAGTGCAAAGATCAAAACTTTAAGGGAACGAAGTATCATGGTCATACTTATGAATTTTAATTTTCGAAGTTATATCAAGTGAATCATCTCTTCTCTATTTTTAGATTTTGATCACGTGGCTTTATTTACTTTCGAGAAATCGATTGAACTGTCGGATTTGATTAGAATCGAGCTTAATTTTTTATCAAGAGTATCTCAAACAAATGAAAACAATCGTTGATACATTTTTATGATAATAGAATGGGGAATTACAAGAGAAATTAGGGAATTTAGATTTTTATAATTAAATGTTTCACTATATATATTCATTGCCTTGGTTAATTACACCTTATTCGAGTTACATCGAGCTCATATTGGATGATGAATAAGTATTCTAATTTAGAGGATGCGATTCTGTTGGGATTTAAGGGTATTACGTATTTGATTTATTTTTCTTAAAATTAAGAGGTAATAACACAGGTATTAACATATTCATAATTCGGTTAAATTTAAACATTTTTCATTAATTCAATAGAAACGTTCTACCTTGCATTTTCATAATATAAAATTCTTATTTAAATTTATATTTTCAAAAAAATACGATATAATTTGATCTAATTTAGATGATTTTTGAAAACAATTATTTCTCGCGATCGACGGGCTTGTATTTTGAAAGGAAGAGGAATTTGAATAAAAAAATACCAATATATTCGTAGACAATATAATCTTGTTAATAAAAACACAAAATACGTTGATGATCTTAATATTTGTCACAACCGATACACTGAAAATTTCTGATATAACCAATCAGTACTTAAATGCTGTAATAAATAGAATGATGTGCAAATATTCGAGCTGTTTTATTACGCACGAGAGTACATATGTTTTATCGAAATAGATCCGAGCAACGAATTTCAATAGGAAATCAGAATCCTCGCACTTCCGACCCAGCGCCGCTTAATCTCTTCCTTTTCCTGGGGGTGGAACGCCAGCTAAGCAGTTCACATTTCAACCGATAGAAAAGAGAAATGGCGGAAACGGCCATGAATCCTAGCTTTGCTCCACAAGATTCTACAATTCTACATTTTCAAACAAAAATTTCTCGCGATTTCCCCTCGAAAGGGCAGACTATAAACGAATAAAATCAAGCGGTGCAACAGTTTTCCGTCCAGAAAGTGATTTTTGCTTCGATACGTATAAAAGATATCTTTCTAATACGTGACGAATTATTAATTTTATATTAGCTTTTATATACGCATTGACTTTTTCCTTGTCTTTAAATTAATCCATTAAATATCAATTATTTTTTTTTTTAATTTTTATGTAATATTGAGATATAAAGATTTTAAATTCTTCAATGATAAAGCAATTTGATAAAGCAAATTAAACGAATTAAGTAAAGCAAGGGAATTAATAATATTGAAAAGATGAAAAATTCGTCCATCTCTATTTTTTTAATTGGAATCGCATTATTTTAAGCAATTATTATTCCTCAATGTTAGAAAAACTTTAAGATAGATTTTTCCTCTAGATATTATTTTTTATACATTATTAGTCATATTTGTAAGAATAAATTTTAAAAAACCAAGTCATATGAAAAATATGATATAAGAGGAGTTGACTTTTGCAAATATTGGCTCGAACAAATACATGATGGACGAAGATTGAATAAATTGATCGTCATTATTAAAGTCAAATAAATTGTAGTGATTTTAATTGTCTATACAAACTTGAAAGAGCTTGCAGACATATATTTTATCTTAAATATTTATCTCCTGTATATTAATATCAAATATAAAAATATTAATCACATATTTTTATATTTCCAATTACAATATTAAACCCCACGATTTCCACTCTCTCTATAAATAAAATAAAACATGGGATATCGTTCTTTCCTTCCTGTTTTTAATTATAAATGAAAAGGGGGGAGAGAAAAAACCACGATGGATTTTCTTCCTTAATTAAGCTACTAATGAGTTCAATAACGAGTTTTGAAACTTGTTTGTCAACTTCACAGCCCCCCTCCCCCCTCTCCTACATTAAGCCCCCTGCAAATTGATTTTGCTCTTTCGTTTCAACGTTCGTATACACGTTACCTTCATTTCCATCGTTCGTTGTTTCCCCATTTTTTTCTTTTTCCTCCCTTTTTCCATCCCCCCTCCTCTCTTCTTCTCTTTTTTACCTTTATCCGTTTTTTTTTTCTTTTTTTACATCGCGACACGTTTTCCAAATTTATTCGCAACACGCCCTTTGTTCTCCTCCTCCATGACTCGATATTGCAACGTTTCTGATATTCGGTCACAATGGATACACGATCTCCAATTTGCCACGAACGATTCGCGTATAATTGCGAAACGTTCGAGCATCGAAGTGCATTTTACTTTGATGATCCGTGACGATATCGAGAAGGGGGAGGGTAGTTTTGCATTTCTAGGTCATTAATCCTTGTTTTCGAATTCGCTTTGTCGAACGAACGCTAGAAGTTGCGTTTAATTTAAATTTGATTCGAGTGTAAAGTTACCGAATTATTAACTCTTGTTTTCCTCTCTTCGCAAGATTGATGAAAGTGATGATTACTATGGTATTCGTGAAATTGAACGAAAATGAATATATATCGTATAATTTATTGCGTTAAAATTAATATTTCATGGGAGTTATAGGAATTTTTGGAATTTCGGATAACAATGTATAAAGATAATTACGAAATAATATTGAATGTAAAATAAATAATAATAAACGAAGGGATATGAATCTAACGTGCAAATATTAATGAAAATATAGAATGAAAAAAGTGTACGTGTGAGTGTACACGTGTCACGTTGATTCGAACAATTGATAACTGGTTTGGTGGAAATGATAGTTAAGATAAACGGATATTCCTGGAAATGATAGGAAACAAAGTGTAAACAATTACGACAGATGATGAAACGTGTATGTGTTTCGAAACGCGGAAATATGGATATGTATATTATTCATAAGTCGTCGCAATAAATAATAAGAGAGAAAAATAAAAGAGAAAGATTTATATTTAATCAAATATATGAATATTAAACATCGGAAATTTGAACGAAAGATGAAGAAATGGAAGAAGATAAAAGCTGAAAATTGTTTGACCCTGGAAAATTCAAGGTGAAAGCTATATTTTTTCACGGTTCTTAAATAAATATTTGATCTCAAGAAATTAGAGTCAAATCGAAATCCTCATTTTTTTTTTTATTCATAGCTCGAATAAACAGCCTTGGAAGTTTAGAATCAAAATAAAAGCTCTTAAATAAATATTTGATTCTTTCGAGGTACTCTACGAGAGGTAAGACAAAATATTTAACCTTGAAAATATAAGATAAGGAAATGCAAAGATTGCAAAGAGAAAAGCTTCGAAGCTTAATTCAAATTCAAACTATATATTTTATTTTCTCGAGAATAACTACTACAAGAATAAATACTAACATTTTCCTTATGAATCAAACGCAAAAGTTATAAATATTTATTTAACGTTTAATAAATCTCATTATATTCGATATAATTTACTTTAGATCTTTCGATTTTTAGATCAAATAAATATCTATTTTTTTTTCTCTTTATTAAATTCACGTTATCAATTCTAGACTTTGCATTTTTCACTTGGAATAAATAAATATTTAATCTTGAAACGATAAACCACTTTATATTTCTCGTCATAAATCTCGTAGCCATCAAATTCCTCGAATTCTTACTTTAACTTTCATTTATAATTTCAATAAAAATCCCATCGTTGCTCGTTTCTTTTTTTCTTTTTTTTCCTTTTTCCTTTTTCTTTTTTTTTTTTTCACCGCGTGTAATAAACGTTGTTTCGAATATTGAAATTTCACCCCGTTTACACCACGTTTCCTCAAAACACTGGGAATAACCGAGTTGAAATATATTAAAAAATTCGGCCCGCTGAAATATTCATTACACGCGATTTCAATCATCCGTTCACCTTCCTCCTCCTCCTCCTCCTCTTCCTCCCTTCCTCCCCTCCTCCCAATGGTCGATTCGCTTGCGCATTTGCATTCGTATTTACCGTGAACCGTGAATGAAAATTACAGAAACCTCGTCCAACCGACCGAAACGGTTAAAAACGTCGATTACCGAGCTCGATGCGTTTATAAGTATCGCGACT